GTGTCATAATAGGTAGTAGTACTTCATTTTTGAAAATTGTTTAAGTGGCGGCTGTATATTATGAACAAAACAAAAGAAAACGGCTTTAAATCGCTCATGAACTTTCTGTAGGCTTTATAACATTCTGAAAACTTTTTTAAGTAATATACAATTTTTGAAGAGGCTACTATTTTAAAGAGTTCCGAAAACTTGCTGCTAATGCTTTAGAGCGTATTCAAAAATGTTTTCATGGATTATGATCAATTACAGAGTTTATTTTTGTCTAACATATAAAAATCGTAATAATCAAGCAAACAAACAGCATTTGCTTGTCAAAGATTTTCTATTTGTACATATGGAAAATGGAAAATTTGAAAGTAAATGTGGGTACGCAGGAAATACAAAGTCATTCTACTTGACACTATTTTATTTTATTCGCAAAATTTATTTATGAAATTATCCAAAAGTCAATGCTATTTTAGTGCTTACAAATTTTGTCAAGTCTGATAAACATAGTTGGTCTATAAAAGTCGAAGTTTAATCACTTTTAATTTGGCAATGCTTTTTTTCAGCTATTGCTGTTTGAAGTCTTGAGAATTTATAGTGTGGCGTATGGCATAAAAACTTGGGTGAGACTGTGGTTAACACTTTACAAATTTTTTCTTACACAGTCCCTGTATGCAGGGGTCCGTGTCATTGATACGGCTGAGACGTCCAAGAAACATATAAATACTTCCTCGCCAGTAGGCGTGGGAAGTGAAAACTAATATCAATTATGGATAAAGATGAAGCGTAAGCTTGTGTTTATCGGATTTGCAACACCACAAATATTCAGTAACGCACATGGCCCAAGATTATTAAATTGTACAATGTGAGGGATCGTAAGCGCATCTGAAAGGTTACACGAACAAATAGAAAACAGCGCAATCGGTAATTTTAACGCCTTCTCAGCAAAGCAACATTTTGTGTTTTATTGGAGCGCGTGACTTGGAGTCGCTCCAGCATGACATCGTAAAATCGAAAATCGTTAACAACACACACACACACATGTTCGACCAGTTGTTTGTGCTCAGTTTCCTGCTTGAACTTCCTATTCCGACGACGATGATTGGAAAGCGGCACATTGATGCAGGATGCTGAAAAATATTGGAAGCGTCTAGAATGCCGTAACTATTTCCTGGATTTTACTAGATCCGCAACTAGGTAAAATGACAAGTGCCAAGCAATTTTAATACAAAGAAGACGGAAACTTGGGGAAAAATAGGGGGAAATCGTGAGCATAATCCCCCATGTTTGTCTGGCTAATGAAACCACATATTATATGTGAAATAGTTTTTTATTGAAGTATACGTTTCGGTCACAACTGTCAGCTTCTCCAGTGCGTGACACTTTTGACAATATTGTCACCGCTGTGACTAAGACGTATACTACATTAAAGAATAATTTCATATACGTATATGTGGGCTTCATTGGCCAGTAAAACATCGGGGATTATTGAGATGAAAACCATCAGATAAGTTTCATCAATCGTGAGCATCTCCGCAATGAAGGAATAGGAGCAGAAATAGGATTGGTAACCCGAGCGACATACGTTTCTGCTTATTAGCTTCATCGGGCCAAAGTGGATGTGCATCTAAAACATATGTTTATCAGATATGGACATAGGTGTAACCTTAAGAATTCTTGTTTTCCTTCAGGCTATACCCGTATGCAGATGTGACTGGCATATGTTTTCACTTCGATATTTTCGATGCACACCTATTTGGGTCTGATGAGGTCTACAAGCAGAAACGTACTTCTTTCAAGTTGTCAATACTTCTATTTCTGCTTCTTTTCCTTGATTGCGGTCATGCCCACGATTGTCCTTTGCTTTTTAAATAATATTAACTGAACCAAAACACAGTGATTAAAGACAAATCTTACACGTATTCCAAATACAGTGTGCGGCAATACCGACTGATCAGTGTCAAAGAATTATAAAAAAGCGTCTAAGTTTACAGACAATAGATAGTTCGCGGTCAACAGCTTTAACCATTTTATATTTACTATGTTTTGAAACTCATTTCTGTGAGATGTCGGCGATTAACAGCAGAATACTGTTGGAAACGGCTCCTGAAGCTCTAAACGGCTCATTTGCTTTCATTTATTCTCATGGCATCATCTAGAGTCTTGTCGAAAAATACTTAGAGATGAAAAAATACTAACTACCTGAAAGAATACCAGAGATAAAGTCTAAGGAATAATAACAACGTTACATCGAACAACTATAGCCTCAGCACATACTGTAATAGCCTTGACTACATATGTGGATCAATCTGCAATAATAATTTACCATCCGACTTAAAAGCCATCAACGGCTTAAAAGTCTTCTAAAAACTACTTTTTAAAAGTCTTCAAAAACAACTTAACATACTTGTACCCTAAGTATGTTTCTTTTCTTCAAGAGTTTTATAGTTCTTGATTAATTACATATTTATCGATTCTTATTGATTATTTTACTTATTACACATTTATGCTGCACGCCTTTTCTATTCTTCTATTTAGCTATTTATACTTCCAAACAAACATAATTTTTTGCTAATCATTTGATAACTTGTTATCATCTATTTTATTCTCATTTAATCATGTATTGTTTTCTTTTGTTTATGTAAATCTGACCTTGTCCTATTGACGTTTCATATTCGCAAAGCAATTTGAATAAAAGTTATTATTATTATTATTATTACATATATCATTTCTTCAACAAGCCGCGCTCTTAGCTCTAATACTGCGTGCGTCTATAGTACTGGCAATTCTAAAATTTGTCGTATCATCTTTGAAACGATTTGTGTTGTCAATATTGCAAACATCTTTATCGCCATCTATCGATTTTTCTATCTGCCTATAGTCTCAGTGAAAGAAGTTTGTGGATTTATACAATAACGTATTGTATTACAAGGTAGCCAACATAATTAAAAAAATATCCGATGTCAAATGAGATACCGTAGCGTCAGCTCTGAGAATTTGTCACAGTTGTTTTTCTATTTACTATACATACCTACTTTGAAAAGGTTAGCGTCGCTAGATGGCGGTACTTATAAACTCGTACATGCTGAAATAGTTGGCTACAGCACCATCTATGAGAGACTACCAATTTCAAAGTGTATATAGTGAACAGAGTAACAACTGTAACAAATTCTCATAGATGACGCTACAGGATCTCATTTTATCTCGATGTGGGATTAGGTTCAGGTTCAGGTACAATACGTTAATCAGAGACTTGAGAAATAATCAAGAAGGCTTAGGTTTAGGGATATTTAGGCTGGGCCAATATATTTCAAAAATTGTGTTATCTTAAATGAGGTATACAGGTATAGCAGCAGATAGACAAATTTGATAGTCCAGGTACGAGTTAGATTTTTTGTTTTTGTAGTTCTAAGAACAGATAATTTATCTTAGCTTCTGTGGGTATTTATAGTTAGTCCGACTCAACTCCCTTTAATCCATTTACGTATACATTGCAAACAAAAGAAACAGTGCATGAATTAATGATTCTACTGCATTGTCGTAATGATCATCTTTGGTCTTATTTATTCACGAGGTTCAAAAAGATGGAAACACTGAGGTTACTGTCAACGGTAATCAATCCTATTTTTATCCAACGTAAATTACTAACTTGTTTCCGTAATTTCACACAGAAATGTACAGGAATAAATCTTTTTGAGAATTCGTGCACATGTTTGCAGTATCCGATATCAACAATTCTGGCGCCAAATGAAAAATCCCTGGGCATCTCGTTAGCATATTTTTTGGAGAATACATCACAAAGAGCAACGACTGACTTGTAGTATTTCCCATTTACACTAAATAGTTAAAAAGCAGCACATTTTTGTTTTAAAGTGAAATATGAATACCCTTCTAAATGAAACAAGATAATTAAAATCGGTACAGCCAAACAGAAGTTATGTGACTTTTTCTGATATGACATTCAACTTTTCCCTCGCCTTTAACTAACCAAAATATGAAAAAAATACATAAATCAAAAAGTTTTGAAATTGAGCGATCAGCACGATAAGGCTGTTTAATGAGTACGTTAATTTCACATTCTTGCAAACTAATAGTATTTGAGGTTTTGAAATGGAATGACGCCACCTAGCGGCATCAATTTCCAGCAATTTTTCTTTTCTATATTTTTTATGAAATTTTGGTTGAGGGGTTCGTAATATCCGCTGTCAATACCCACACATTACACACATCTTTTTGTTCATAAAGAGGGGTAACGAAACATTCATTTCATATGAACACAATAAAATTTGCATGCGTTGTTGAGAAGTGTGGAATACTGTATTACAAAAATTCTATCTCCAGATGTAATGTCGCTTGCAGTTATGATTATACATTTCCTGGACAGTCACAGAGACTATCCGTTAAGAAAAGATTGACTAGCAGTCTTCCTCATTTACACTCACAGGTTCCGAAGCAGCACAGTTTTGTATAATCTGCTCGAATATTCGAATCGAATTACTGTGGCCTGTCAGCAAATTGCTGATAATACTCAAGACAGAAAAATGTCTTTCCCTGTTCCCTTGATTATAACGATTTTTGCTTGCTGGAGATTTTTTGACATGTACCTCCATCTCAGAGAGTTGATCCACTCTTTTGTTTCTACTTGCGGCTCATCCAACAGCCTGCTCTAAGCCTTAGCAAAAGTAACCGATTGTCAAACTTCTGCATGGCTAATCACTCACACAAGTGAAGCCTGCTACCAAATATCTCTCTACACCCCAGCATCATCGCAGATGATGATCAACAGGCATCATTCAAGCCACATCACTATTTTACACAAAGACGTTTTCCCCAATTTCACTGGACTATGTCATTCACTTGAATCCGGACAAGATGAACGAACGAGTAGTCGCCGACTCCACTGTCGCCCGGAAGGATGGATAGTGAAGACGCGCGCGGACTTTTCCGGGAGGACAGATCGACTTAACCGGAAGGATAATCACTGATTGCGTCACTGGTTGCATCACTGAACTTACCAGAAGCCTCATGTCCTTGAGTGTGCGTCCGGCAGGCAGTGGTGGTTGGTGATGGCCGCGGCCGACTGGATAGCGGATGCGTTGCGGTCGCTGTTTTTATATTGGGGGCCGATCGCAATGCTTTCGCTGAAACGGGGCAATAGACCGTGCATTGCAGCCCCTTACTTGATGCAGATGTCCAGTGGTAGGAAAAGAAATAGGGAGATTCTGTATAAGGAAATCCTACAATTTTAGCGACAGTTAAATTTTTGGTGATATCGTTAGATTAGTTCTTCATAATAAGGTCAAATTGCGTAATTATATCAGGCAGAAGCCTAAATACTAGAACACCGCGGCTGGTATGAAGAGCTTAGAAGCATCTTGTTAATCTGATTTTTGAACTGCCTAAGGTAGAACTGAGAAAAGCCTCCCCAGGTGGATTTCACAATCTCGATACCTTAGGGACAAAGTTTGACACGGTTGGGATGGGGGCCTTGTCCAGACTGAGGAGGTTAAGTGGAGAATGATCCAATTTTCAAGAGCACATTGGATCGAAACTGTATAAAACCACCGATCCTATGCGAAAATGGCGTCAAGTAGGCTGACTCAGCACTTCTTACGTACATCCATAAAGGATCACCTTCAGCGCAATTCAACTCTTTTGAACAAAAAGTCAGTTACGAACATATACAGCAGGGAAATCAAACAGATTGAATCGGACTCCCTACTTATCGTCGGAGAGTCAATCAGGCCAATAATATTAGTCTGTCATCTGGCAACGCGGTCCTTTGTCACATCTGCTCGACAGGCGGTGTGCTTAGATAGTAAAATATCTCGATTATCCAAGCTTTATAGGCAAATGTACGGACAAATGTGTGATGTGTGAAATATGGCTAATGTGTGCGTAGCATACGTAGAATACTAAGTTCAACAAATTTTCATATACCCTCCCTCCCTCCATACAAACCCCAACTCTCGAACTACAACAATACAAAAACTTTTCTGAAATCAGGACACAGAGAAAAGTCAAAAAACGGTGTTTGAACGATTTGTTTCTGTTTTTGGCTCGTTTATCACTATACTGCTTTTTCGTCTTTGACATAGTAGCAATCTTGTGTAAAAATTTCATCAAAATCAGATCGGTACCTCTCAAGTTATATATGGGACAAAGATGAGCGGGCGGACAAGCAGACAGGGAAACAGACCGACAAACCGACGCAAATGAGTGGAATGGTTTTTCGTGATATCCAAAAAACGCAATATCTCTCTTATTGAAAATTTCCGCGATTACAATACCTGTTCACCCAGTAACGTAGGAGATAAACAGGAGGAAAACAATTTTAATGTTACATCTGAATGTGATGTTTTCATTATGAAGATCCAGTCGCTCATTCTCACCAGTGTGTCTTTCATTTGAGAGGAGATGTAGTAGATAATGCAGGTATATGTCATCACTCTCTTTCCATTAAAATCATTGCCACGGTCGCTGAGGCTGCGCAGTCATAAGATTATATATATATAGTCATATATTATATATATGTATACTAATAGTAATAATAATAAAAAAGTTTATTGATAAACAACTTAACAGGAGAGGGTATTGTACAAGTACAAACATTTTTCAACCCTTCTGTAAACATTAATAGAGAAAAATAGATAAATTGAGAAAACATTGATTAACAAATGATATAGTGCCCACATTACAAAAAAAATATAAAAGCATATCACTTCAACTGTTTTAATGGACAAGTAAATACTGGAGAAAGAAAATGTACAAACAGAAAGAGATGAGACCATGAAGCTAGATAATAGAGGACATTTGCGATTACAGCACATGCAACACCGTATCAATACAGACCCCTCTGCTTGTTCAGACGATACTGCCTGTGACATTTTTGAACCGCAGCAAGGAATTTTCCACAAATAGTTCAACCGCCGTGTTCCAAATGGTTGCAGCCATGTAGCTAAAATGGCCGATACTATATAGTGATGGAAGTGAGTCACTGCAACTTTTCCACTTTAAAATGTTATTTTTGGTCATAGATAATGATTTATGGGCAGTGGCGACGCGTGACTTTTCCTAAACTGTTACCAAAACCAGATGTGAAAGATCTTATTAAAAAAAGTTTATTTTGAACCTACCAAATATAAGTTTTTGCTGATTTTAGGTATTTTATCTAAACTTTTTTTAAATTAAGGTAAACATTGCTGCACTGGGCGTCTGGGGCACTTGATATACCTCTCTTATGCTATGACTAATCCAAGCCAAAACAGTTGACGTTTCTAGATGTTTTGATCTTTTTTGGCAACTAATGTTAACAATTCTCTGTAATTTCCACTATTTCCACTTTTCCCTTTAAAATGACCCCGAAATGGTAATTCTTGTTTGGCCAAAAAACATACGGCATCTATAAGAGGGCTGCCTAAAGGCTTGGTCAAGACAACTTTCGATTCTTGTTTTGCCAAACTGAATCAAATTGGCTACAGCTCTCACATGTAACGGAGAAATTTCATGTCTCCTCTTCAGAACCCTAAAACTATTTAAATCCTTGACTCCGCTGCTGGTCCACCCATTTTTTTTTTTGTAGAAAACAGAAGACATGGCCAACACTACAATCTGTTCTTCTTGCAGCCACATAACCAAGAGTTTTCACTATATAATTTAAAATACAGAACTACTTTTTTACTCCTTTTTAAAATTATCTAAAATAGGTGTTGGGTCTTAAGTTTCAACGATCTTTTTTTTTCTTCGCAATTATATAAGGAGAATGACTTTTTAAGAAATTGATCGATTTCCCAGCGACATTCAACCGTTTAGTTGCACGCACACTACAGCCGGTAACTAAAACGGCTACTTACGAGTGAGAAGTCAGTAACCAAAACAAAAAGTGGTAACAAGCCCTCATAATAGTCGCAGCGGCCCACGCACTCGGGCGACCGCGATCAGACACGAGCCGGCACCGACGGTCCCCGACGGACTATCAAGTGTATCCATAAACGAAAATGGTAACAACCGACAACCAACTCGAGGCGAGTCAGCTTCATCGCGTTCGCAAAATCTAAACAGTATAGGGCGCATTATTTTCTAAGTACTATTACATATTGCTGTTGGTAAACATATAAATGAAATTATTTCACAGTACTTAGTCATAATATATTTATTTTCAAGATTTTTAACTGTTACCAATGGTAACAATGGTTACATGGACGCTTCGCCACTGCTTATGGGGTTATCCCTACGTGAAAACGTGTTTTAATCTGACACTGTGGCTGTTTTCATACGAATGTTTAGCTTTTGCTTCTTATACTTGAATAACCATCAAGTGTCGAAAAAATGTAAAAAACAAAAGATTGTAGAAGGTTTCATTGTCGACAAAAGAGGACAGTAGTCTTTATACGCTTAGGTTGTTAATTCAGCCATTATATGCGAAAATATTTTCAGCAAGATTGCTTTCATTCGTTTTCAACATAAGATCGATGGTTTCAGAGGTTTTCAAAAAACTGCTTTATCAAAATTGCAGCAAATGCTCCAGGCCTATCATGACGCCATCATTAGGAAGCATTCATCTGACGGTACCACCGAAAAAATAAAATTGACTGTCGTCAAAACTGCAGGGAAAGGAATAACTATTTCCTGGCCTAAAAAGGAGTTAATCTTCTCAAGAGGAAGACATATTGAGAAGAAACCATATTCTGTGCAGATGCCTTGTATGCAAACGTGATTTTCAATTTCTCAAGCCGATATTAGTATTTCATTCTAAGAGTGTTAAGGATCTTCCAACATAAATGACTGCTGTCATATTCAATGCAACTATCCTACATGCAGAAATTACCCACACTGTAATAAAGACGCTGATTATAGCTAAAATGTTCATTGTTCATTCACAATATTTCGGTATGTCATCATTCATTCGCTCTATTAAAATTTGGGTCACTATGACCAAGATATCTAACGTATTGTTATAAAAATGCCAAATTTCTTAAGTACTTCCTTAGTTATTGCAAAAATTTAGAAAACGACGAGTAGCGGTCATTGTAAGATCAAATGAATTTCATTCTATTTACTTAAAGTTTGGAAACTTATCTTCATCGACTAAGTTAATTTAGAACAGGATTTTTGGAAATTTTTCCCCGAAGGGGTGAAGTCCGGACTGAGTGTTTGTAAAAGTATGGCGTCAAGCAGGTTGACTTCCCACGAAACGTCCTCGGCAGTACAAACTAGAACCCTCTGAGAAAAAAATTTGCTAAACAGATCCATTCAATTAATCCATAGACATAATTTTCCTGTCTTACCTACATGAAAATTTAGCATCACGGTCGGCGCACGAGGCCAGCAGCAGCCTCGGCCGATAGATATATTCCCCTAAATATTTTTTAGGGCAAATGTACAGAGAAACCTATGATGTTCGAAATATGTCTAATAGTTTCATAGAATTACCAATCTTGGAAGCATATAGATGCACCAGTATAAAAAAATTGAGATTGACCCCCCCAGTTCCTTGCAATCCCCATCCCCTAGTTTTTGTTACCTCTAAAGTTTTATTCAAAAATGATCAGGATCCTCTGGAACGTTAAGAGACGAAGTTTGAGCGATTTTTACTTTTTTCGTTTCAGGCTTTTCTTTGGAAGTCAATGGACGGATTTCCAAAAACTATAAAGCGTTTTGACATAGTAGTAAGGCTGCGTGAAGATTTCATCGAAATCTGAGCGGTACTTCTCAAGTTATAGGCGGTTATAATATTAGCGGAAGACCGAAAGACAGACGTCAGACAGACAGACCGATGGAAATGAGTGACATGGTTTTTTTCATGATGTGCATGCCACGATACTGACCAACTAGTAGGCGCGGGAAGTAAAACATCCGACTTACTTGTAACTGGCCTTGCCAATAAAATTAGTTGGAATCGAGATTTTTTCAAATTCAACCCAATTTAGTGTTAATTTAACTTTTAGGTCACTATGTCAATGATATCTGTTCTATTGTTAAGTAAATTTCATAGAAATGCTACCTTTGGTGTTCGACAAACGTGAAGCCGGGCTAGCAATGCGTTTCCAAGTGTATACGCAATCCAAGTTTTGCAAATCTAATTAAACCTAAATGGGTAGCAATATCATGCAGTATTTGTCTCATAAATACCAAGAAGATGAAATTCTTGGAAAAGGCCAGACCAGTTTACGT